GAATGAGGTTTTGATGCCAGTTGTATAATTAGTATTGTTAGAGTGAGATTTAAAACAAATCCATCATAGAGTGTTGTTTGTTTCACAGAATAGAAAATCGGTGATGAAAGTGTGTTCTTTTAGGATTTTAACACGGTTTCTGAAAATAATATCCGTGGAATATTGCAGAAATGACTATATATTTATATAAATATATATTAAGATAGAATAGGAATCATAATTTATATATCATTCTTAAACATATAAAGACACTGAAAGTGAAATATAAAAAATATAGCGGCTTTGTTATAGCCTAACCTAAATGCTGCTTCTAATGATAAAATTTTTCCTCCAAGCATGGAATTATTCACTATTGCTCATAGAATTGTAGAATAAAATAAGGATTGGATAGATCTAATGTGGGTTATTCAAGTTTTCTAATCTACCTTCGAAGATTTAAGTAAGCAAATAGAAATGGCACATTTTCTTACTTGTGTTGGAACATGACGATAGGATTCGCTTTGAGGTCGGACAGATCCTCCATCTTCCCCTTTTCGATGGTGTATGGCAACTTCTTGCTCAGGATCCAACCGATATGGGCGAAGAAGAACCCTCGCCTGATATTGTGGGGGTCACCATCTGTGTCGGTATACTTGTGGTGCAACCTGTGGTCTCGCACCCACTTGTAGATACTCTTCTGCAATTTGGAAATAATTTCTAGCACAATCTAGATTTTTCATCGATTTCAAGCTGTAAGAAACAATATAGGCAGGTAAACATACTATGCAAAGAAATATTTTCAAATTAAATTGCTACGATGTAAAGATGGTTGATCAGCTGAAGATCTAACCGATTAAAAGAGGAGGACAGTTTTACTGAGTGAGTGATCAAAGAAGAGCGCAGGTTTTCTAAGCGATCCTCATCTTCACATCCTCCACAACCTGTCATCATACTGTAAACCAGGGATTCTTAACCTTGTATAGTTCACGGGCCCCAACCCAAACCCAGTAATTTTAGTTAGTTACGTTAATTACTATAACTTGATCTGTTAACAGTCAAAAATAGTCCTCACTCCTTCACTATTCCACTATATTCCTGTTCTCGAAATCTTATATAGCTTGGCCTTTATTAGTCGCCCAAGTTTGGTTGGTTGTTGTATTAATCTGTGGTACAGGCCTCTTTTTATTGAATTATTAAAATTTGCCGAAAATTCGTAAATAGTTTCATCTCATCGTAACCTACAACTATTTTATTTACGAAAACTCTTGGAATCGGGCCGTTTGTCCTATATAATTTTGTTATAATGAAAATTTGGGTGTGTAGGTCAAGCCAAATGGCTCAATATTTTTAAAAGCCATCTTTTTTATCGATTTTTTGATCAAATTATCTTACAATCCAAGTAGAAAGTAAATGTGTAGTTACGAGTTTTTAGTACCTAATTAAATTTACAAAGTTTGCTCCCCTCCAGATTAAAGACGCCATAATTCCAAGAATTTTCGCAAATAAAATAGTTATAGGTTACGATGAGATGAAACTATTTATGAAATTTCAGGCAGATGTTAATAATACGATAAAAAGGGGTCTGTACCACGGACTACATAGTAAAGGCGTAAAACCTGTTAGTCATCAACGACTTTAATTAAAATTATATATTATTATATCTTCTACTAGTGAATAATGGGAAGTTGCCCAAGGTATAATCGCGTTAATACATGTTAAGTAATAAGTAATAAGAAATATACGGCCTTGAAATGACAAACATAATGGATTATTTATTGCTTGATTTAGAGAACATAGACCTTCGCCGGAATAGATTAGTCATCTGGAAAAAAAGAATTCCTTTAGCCTCTTTGTCTAAAACTATTAAAGAACATTAATCAATTTGTATCAAATATGAGGATGAACACCAACTAGCAAACAACGGTTTGTCAAACCTAGCCATATGTTAATGCTGAAATTTGGCTGGTAATGATTGACGATGGTTACTTGCTAGTTGGTGTTCAGCCCCATATGTGATACAGATTCACATCAACTCAACTTTTCTACTTTATATTGGAATTGTGTCGTTGTTCGAAAGGCTAGTAGCAAAAACTAGTGTTGGATCCTGATGATATGGTACGGGTATAAACAGAGTACAAACGTAAACGGCGTAGGGTACATTGCCAGAACTTGATTAGTGCTTATTTCTGTTACAAATTCCTGCTCTCTTCATGTCATCTATTTGAATCACAGAAAGCTTATTGCGATATTTAAGAAATGAGTAAAAACAATTGTCAAAGTGATAAAAAGATTTTAATATGAAAATTTAAAAATAGAAAAAAAATATCATTACTGCTTTACTTTTCAGAAAATTAATAACGGATGATATTTAAAAAGCACATTTTTTATTTTATCGCAATTGAAGTGCAGATCCCGCCGCTGAAGCTTCCTGGGTCTTAACGTTGTACACACATCGTTTGAGGTCTGATTCAGCCATTTTGATCCGCCGCCATTTTGTTTTACGGTGCTGGATGGCTGGATGGTGTAGCTTAAGCCATTGCTCCAGTAATTTACTCGGCCTATTCTCTCCATATATAATAATTTTAACCATAATTGGTCGTATTCCGATTAAATTACAACAAAATAATAACAAACATTCAACTTACTCTGAATCATTAAAAAAAAATGGCGGACGTCGGAAGGACCAAAATGAATTTTCGAATTCTACGTATCCTGAAACATAAAAGTTCTAATTTCTAGGAGAAGAGGAGTTTAAGATTTAGTTTTACTTGGTGAACTACAATGGTTCATTATTGAAAAAAAAATTAACCAATTTAAGTTCCTAAAGAAATAAAAATATTCCCTCATCATATTTTTGTTGCTTAACAGTTACGTCATTTAAACAAATTTATTTTCTGTGGCTACTGAAACAAATCCTACTTATGAAAAAATGAGCGACATTAACCAATACCACTTACACAATTCTATTTATTTAAAAATTCAACTCAAGTAATATGTAATAATAATAATTATTATTATTTATTTTTTAACATTTCACAAAAAGGTATTTTCCTGGAGTCGGAAAGAATTGATTTTTTTCGATGCAGTTTGAAAACGCGTTATTATTATTATTAATATTACAATAGCGCTACGATCCTTCAAAAACCCGAACCTCCTCCACTACAGCCAACCATTCTCCAGTGGAGATTCTCCATGTATTCTTTGGGCTGGGCCAGACCCTCCTACTGTGCACCCTTCTCCCTTCCCCCACATGCCTATAAATGGCATATCGTTGTGTTCCTTGTAACTATTTATAAAAAAAACACAATGTTCCCACAAAAAAAGTGAACGAACTGTCCCAAAATGGTGTCCAAACATGGCGGATTGACGACTTCGACTTTTGTTAGTTTTTTGGACACTGAGAATCAGCATTTGATAGTTAATTAACTTAATTTCGTTAATTAACTTAATTTCGTTATAGTTGGTCTTTTATTAAAACTGCATAGTCAGACCATGAAAATACATGAACAATTATTGGATAACGCAATAAAAAAGCCAATAATGTCAATTTTATCAACAAAAAATCTTCAAGTTGAAAATCAAGGGTCGTTTGTAAATAAACGGCCAACAATAACGCAAAACGTGGTGAAATAAAAAATCTGGGGAACATATTTCCCTTTCTTAAACACTTATTAATTTTAAAAATATTTGAACCGGTTCCGTAGAAAATGCATATAAGCGGCTGAAAAGCGGTACTGGCGCAGGTGCCTACAGGCCTCTACCACACCATTCAGTTCGCATAAATGAGTTAGTTAGTGCTATAATAACATTTTTGGTACATTATATTGATTGTATTAACGAACAAATATTAATGGAATCAGTTTCAAATGCATTTAATATTAAAATTTCCTATTTTTTTATGATATGACCAACTACCGAACAAAATAAAGGAAATAAAAATTAATTTTTTTATTTTTATCACAATCATATATGAGTTTTACCAAACAACCCATCAACTATTCATTATATGTAGTTCAGATGAGGTATATATTATTTTAGTTTATAAAACAGGTATTAATATCACTCATTTCCTGGGAAATATATAATTATAATATAATATAATTATATAAGTATATAATTTTAACAACCTCTAAAAATCAGTAAATATACAAAACAAAGTGTTAAATTTCAAACATTAAATAAAAAAATTCAAGATATTCAGCAGTATTTTTGAAGTATTTTTGAATCAAGTTTTATTATTATAATTATATCATTATTATAATAGAGGCCTTCTTAAACGACCTCCGTATAGATTAAAAGAAATTAATCTAAAAAAAAAAATTGAAAAAGAATTGTTTAATTTTTTGGGACATTTAAATCATTCCATTAATATTTGTTCGTTAATACAATAAATATAAAGTACCAAAAATGTTATTATAGCACTATAACTAAGCTATTTATGACAACTGAATGGTGTGGTAGATGCCTGGAGGCACCTACGCCAGTACCGCTTTTCTGCCGCTTATGTGCATTTTCTATGGAACTGCTTCAAACATTTTTAAAAGTAATCAGTGTTTAAGGAAGAAAAATATATTCCCCAGATGTTTTATTTCAGCACGTTTTGCATTATTGTTGGCCGTTTAATTACAAACGACGCTTGATTTTCAACTTTTACTGGCTTTTTTTATTGCGTAAGCCAATTATTTTTCAATATTTGTTCATGTTTTTTATTGCCTGACTATGCAGCTTTAATAAAAGACCACCTATGACGAAATTAAGCCAAATGCTGATTCTCAGTTACCAAAAAAAAAACTAAAGTCAAAGTCGTAAATCCGCCATGTTTGGACGCCATTTTGGGCCAGTTCGATCATTTTTTTGTGGGAACATTGCCTTTTTTTTAATAAATAGTTACAAGGAACACAACGAAATGCAATTTATAGGGATGTAGGGGAGGGGATGCACGGTAGAGGGGGCCCATCGTGTAACGGTCTTGTGTCCTGCTACCTGTCCTACCTCCCTCCATGTTGTAACACCCAGCCGCTTTAAATCGTTCTCCACGTCCTCCAGCCACGTGATCCGAGGACCTCCTCTACTTCTTTCGCGATCCGGCATCTCATAGAAGCGATTAGGCATTCTTGTTCAAGCATTATCTTCACACGACCTATTCATCTTATCAGAGCTCTTCTTATCAATGCCACAATATTCTCCATTCAGTTCACGGAGCTCCTCATTCTTTCTCTTTCTCCAAATTCCGTTCTCAGATATTCCGACTTAATTATATTAATTAAAAATATTAGAATTCCTTTATGTTGGGATAAAAAAATAATAATAATGTAATTCGATGATATATTGGCTACGACTGCATTCAGATTGATCCTTGATATCATGTTACAGATTCGCGTTATCAACAATCATTTTTTTTAAATCTAATAAAAACAATTTCCTGGAACAAAAGGTGCAGAAGAAAATAATGTTTACATGAAATCAATCCTGAAGGACTTACCTGGTGGCCTATGGTGAAGCAGTACATGAGGAATATTTGCAGGGGCCATCTGGCCTTGTAGGATCTGTGGGACCAGAGTCTGTGAGCACCAGCTGTCACCCCCAAGGATGAGAGCTCGTTCAGCCACCAAGCTACAAGCAAAACATAATTTTATTTATTTGAATTAAAATATTTTACCTTACCGTTTCCTCTCGGATCATAAATATAACTTTTTATATATAAATATAACTTCTCGTAAAACAACTGATATTTTCATTTTCGTTTTTATTTGTTTATGACTAATATTTTCGAAATCCTAAAAATAATGCCGTCTCGTGATATAGGCCTTTTCAAAAAAATAAAAATATTGAAGTATAAAAAAATATCTATGTGGATATTCTAAAACATATTTGCTACTTTATAATTATATTGAAAAATTGTAATATTTAATTTCTCCTAATTTTACTTTCACCCACCTATATATGTAATATATACTTATATATTATATAATAATAATGTATATACTTAGGTAAACTATTGCGATCGTGGAAAAATTCCAATTCAAGTATTCTTCTATTCTTGATAACCCTTCGAGGTTTCTGAAAAGAAGATGGCATCCGCGGCCTTCTAATGTAAAAATATAATTGGGGATACACCATCAGTTCATTATAAAATCATTAAGTAATACTTTAGAAAACTAAATCAATAAACAATTTTATGAATTTTCCTGCTTTGAAATCACAATACTGTGGACTAAATATGACTACTTTTGAACTATCGTCAAACACATTTGACAAGTTCGGACATATTTGTCAATGCAAAATGATATAGAATATGATCATAATATAATAATTTTTAACAATTAAATTAGATATTGCAAAACTTGTTGCAAAATAAAAATAAAATGATGATGACTAAAAAATATTTTTTTAAAGTTATAATATCAATAAGAACTATTTTTAAAGAAACACAATTACTTATTAGATATTTTATATTAAAAATCTCGTTGATCAGCTGTACTGCGTAATGCGGTTAATGGCCAAAATTGTAATCACTATTACAGATTACGGTGACAAGCTAAATTTTCCTTACGAACTCACATGACGTCACAAGGGTACATTGGTGACAGTAGATACTGTGTTGGGAACTATTATCTGTAAGCAATGGAGAAAACTTTCTTATAAGAGAACTAAAAACATTTCCCAAATTATTTATTTTTTTCATAAGGCCAAGTCTGAATTTTTCAATTTAAATCGTGACTTATTTCGAAGGACATAATTCGACAGTTACATTGAAAATGTTTTTAAGGGATCCTACAAAGATGTTGAATACTTACTCCACAATAACGTTGGCCATTTCGCAGAAGTTCCAGCCAAAAAGAGGCCGTAAAGTCCGAAACAATGGACGATGGAGAAGAAAGCGATGTTGATCCAGTTGGGCTCTAGTAAATTGCTCCTCTTCTTTGGCGGCGCTGGAAGGTTGCTGATAAGTGGAGTCAGTTCTTCTCCAATGTAAGGTGCCATCCTTCTGGAAAATAAACAGGAATCATACTTAAGTATGTATATTGTATAGAAGAATAGTAATTTATGATGATTGAAATACTGAATATTGTTCCAGTACAGAAAGAATTGAGCAAAGAACTGAATCGACATTTTTATTTCTTGTAAAGGATTGACATTACAATCAAGGAGGAAGCCTTCTCGCTATATATCTCATATGTTTTATTTTGCTTCCTCACTACCGAAGGTAGGGAAGCATTGTATTCGTGCGAAAGGTTAAAAAAAATTTTGTGCTCAGAATCGAATATTTCAAATCGCGTTTTACGTTTCAGACATCAAAAATCAAATTTCTTTCGGTGTCTGTCTGTCTGTAGTCAAATCGATGTGATAGAAATATCGCCTATTACATTTCATCCGATTTTCATAAAATTTTCAGGGATAGTGCAGGTTAGTGCCTAGGGGGTCTCATATAAATTCCTTCCAGCAGTTCCACACGCGCAAACGTTATTTTTTAGATATGCCAATATTTCAGGAAGGGCTCGTTTGCTTTGGCTCAAAATTTGATAAAAGGTAGTTATTTCTGAATAAATAAAGTAGGGTCAATTTTATTGAATTCTGTCCACTAATTTCTCTTATATAGATAGATAGATAGATAGAAAAAAAAACTTTATTCTGGGACTAAGTCCCTTCAGAATAACAATAATGTATAAAATAATAGAATATTACTGGCTTAAACGTTTGAAACAATAAATAAAATTGATAAAATAAAATAAAAAGTAAAGAAAACCTTACGTGCACAAGCTATATACAATACAGATTACAGAGCTATATACAATACAAAGCTATATACAGAGCATTTAAAATTATGAACAAAACAATTAAAACTATGAATCACATGGACTATGAACAAAACTATATATAAGGGTTGAACAACATAAACATACACTTTGAGAAATGAAGAACGAAAAAGAGATAGAATGAGTTCATTTCATAAAAAAAAAAAACTTTACTTGAATATATATATAAAAATAAACAGTTAATTATAATTGAATAAAAAAAAAATGTTTGTATTGAAATTCCTACGTCGATAGTAGGAAATGCATGTACTATCTCTTACCAAGTATTATTATTATATGATTGCTACACAATACATATATAATATTAATAGTTAGCTGGTAGCTGACTGTTTTTGGAACAGGAATTGGAATAAGAGGTTTTTGAATGTGTATAGGGAAGGGGCATGTCGAATTTTGATCGGGAGGGAATTCCAAAAGTTGACAGAGCGGGCTATAAAGGAATTTTGGAATGAGGCAGATCTATGAGAAGGGATGTATAGGTCAGAGGGTCGAGATCTTGTAGTGAGGGAATGGATAGAGGACTTAAATTGGAGAAGGTTGTAGGCATAAGAAGGACGATGATCGGTAATGATTTGATAAAGGAAAGTGCCTAGGAAATATTGTCTTCTTAAGGAGGGGAAAAGCCACCCTAACTCAGTGTAGTGGTGGGAGACACGGGAGCGTCCCGGGGTCCCAATTACAAATCTTACGAAGCTATTTTAATACTTATGTATATATATATATGCTCAAACGTAGTTTCCTTGATACGTCTATATCTCTAAAACCGCACGTTCGATTTGGGTCAAATTTGGAGGGAAGTTAGGGATTAGTTAACTGGAAGGCACTGATCATATGGAGCGGATGTTAGGTAAGGTCGATATTTTTATGGGTTCATAAAATTTTTAGTTTTATTCATTAAACGTTACTGGCATGATATTTTCTGATTTCGTCTAATTTTTAATAAATTTAAATTAATTTTTACTCTGAGTTTGGAAAAAAGAATAATCTTGTTTGTGATTGTGTTTATTTCTATTCAAGTTATATTGAACTAGCTCGTTACGTACATCGAGTTTCGTGTTCGTGTTCGAGTATTGCGTTTCTGTGTGATGTTCACATATATTTTTAAATTCCAGCTTAAATAGTTTTGAGTTTTGGGGCTCCACTAAGCCATGGAATTCTTCTCGTATCCACTCCTTACAACCCAAAATCCTTCGGAAAATCCTCAATGCTCCTTATTTTGTCACCAATAAAATAATCCATAATGTCCTTATGTTTCCGATTTGGTCCAATCCAGATACCAATCCTTCCATAGTAAACTTCAGAACCATCCGAATCCTCTCGTCTCTAACTTTGCTTCCACTTTACATGAAAAATATTTGAAAAATCATCATTTTTAACATTTTTTATTCAGACAAAAATGTTTGTTTATACATTTATATTTATTATAATATATTCCAGGTCTCCGAAAAAAATAATTAAATCTTTGTAATAATTTACTGCAGTAATTTTTGCTGAAACACAGGTACTTTCAGATGACACGATATAGAATCACGTCATTTTTTTATATACCTTGAGGTTAATCTCAAGTTTTTCCGCAACAAGCTTCAAGTCAATGAATATGGACTTTTTTATATGATATTTACAACTGTATAAAAAAAAACAGATTACTCAACATTTCTGTTCAATTCGGGTTTTTGATTCTACATACCATCCATATAACGAAAAACCTTAAATTTTAGGATAGCTTGCATTCTTTTTGATGGCCGAGTTAAGAAGGAAATTAAAAAATAAAAACGGCGGATTGTGAATGATGAATTTTTCTATTACATTTTTGGATTCAACTTAGTTGTTATATATCTTCAAGTTGTTATATTCTACTTATTCACTAAATGTTAAACCCCAAATTCGAGGAGAGTTTCTCATAGTTGATCACAAGGATTTATTGAAATAGTTTGAATTTATTATTGAAAATAATAAACGAAAAAAAAGCAAACATGTCATGTGACCATGTATCGAAATTCCAACTCTAGTTCTGTCTGCTCCTTGTTATTAGATCAATTGGAAAAGATTTATAGCCAAACTAAAATATCACCTGCATGAATATAGATAAAATATCATCGTAGGGTTTTAACACCGCCATAGCCAATCTCTCCATCTTTGCAGGAGTTACAAAAAACTATCTTAATTTGTCACGATCTTTTCCTCATAACCAATATCTCAGTCTTAAAATTTCATAATTGTTAGTCTAAGTAACAAAATATTCATACAACAGTAAATCGTAAAGTTGAAGTTCTTTCTCTCAAAATTATAATAAATGCAGTTAAAACATTTTCAAACCAAAGCCACGATAGATCTATAATTTTTCGTGTTTAAAAATTTAAAAAATGTCTGATGAAACAAACATTTTTTATATTTTAAAAAATGTTTGGTGAAAAAACACTCAGAGATCATTTTTGGGGCTAGAGGTCTTAAAATGTGAATTTCCGTTCGAAACGCTTTGATTTGAAATTTTTCATGTTTGCAATACTTTTTCTTACGGTATATTTCATATATAGGTAAGTGAAATGAAATATGTATAAACATTTAACGATTTATTCAAAGTTCACTGGATAGTAAATTTCAAAACGATTCCCAATAACACATCACTAAATTTCTTTGGAATGATTCATCAGTTGAATTTTAATAATAATAAATGCCTTTCTCAATAAAAAACCTAAAATCTCCTAAAAACTCCTTTTGAATTTAACGGAAAAATATAACTTGGAAGAGTTTGAATGTTATCTTTAATATTCACTTTTCTACTTTAAATTAATAATTATATTATTGTTGTATGAAAACATTTTCATATATACTGAGTTTAATATCAGTTCATTATTATAAATCCCAAGTAATCTAAAATTATTGTAAGATTAAATTAGGGTGTATTGTAACTTGAAAATGAAAAAAATATCGAAACTTTATTTTATATAGTGAAAATAAGTACATATGGTACTCACCTTGTTGTGATTGAGCACACACTGGGCCTTGCAGTCCCAGTTCACTACCTTATTATACTGGTAACTCACTACCTTATCACTACATTGCTCATACCTTATACCTAATGGAGAGTTCCCATTGCTTAGCATAAGGTTAATTTGAATATAACAGGTATGGACATGGTATAGAATGAAATTATAATTTTAAAAACCATTCACTGACGTTAACAGAAAATAGTGAATGAATAAATGAATCTTTTCAATAATTTCATTTGTCTTTCAGAAGTTTTCTCTATAGCCAGAGATACAGAGATATTCCATTTATCTATATAGTATATATACAGATGTATATATATCTCTCTATATATATATACAGAATATATATAGTCAGAGGTATATCAGAGATTAAGTGTAAAAGTCATTACTTTCATACGCTGTTGCGATTTCACATTCTATGATGGTGGTATCAGTCATATTTAATTAAACATTTTATTTAACTACATGTGATAAGCATGCTTAAATAAAGTAAGGGTGTTAAAATTTAAAATTTAATATAATTAATGTCTGATGATCTTTCCTTAGTATATCTAATTTCAAATATAAAAATAACCTCCATAATAAATTTTATCTTGTGGTTCAAATTAATAAATTGACTCAACCCAATTAGGATTATAATTCATAAAATGTTAAATTAAATATGACTTTATATAACCCCCATTATAGAATGTGACATTGCAACAGTGTATGAAATTAATAGTGTTTATCTTACAGATGGCTTGAAAATGGTTTACTAGCCGAAACGTAGCCGATGCTAAAATTATTACTCACCTTATCGACTTCCGCCATCAGAGACCTTATAGCCTCGTGCCAATCCGATTTGGAGGACGTTGTATCTGTTATGTTCAATAAGAGCGAGGTTACACCTACATGCACTGCGTATGTGCTCTCGAATTACATATATTGCTTTGCGGAGAGACCGTCACTTCTATTCTATGCAGATGTTTCCAGACGAGGTCTGTTACCAATCCGGAATTCTGCCACTGTTTCCTTTCTCGGCAGGATCACGGGAACTCGATCTGCTTCATTAAGCAATTTTCTCCATTGCTTTTCTACAACACTGCTCTTAACGGATATCAGTAGTCTTATTTATTTCTTTTCTGGCTCTATGATATGAAATTCGATTTTATGACATTATCTGATGAAAATTTTGAATGCATTTTTTTTTTTTTTTTTTTAATATTTAATACATTTGTATTAAGAGAATGAGTCCGGCAGTCGGATCATGTTATCTGAAAAGAAAAATGTGGCTGATAAAGAATATTTAAGAATACTAGGTCAGTAACTTGAAGATCGAAATGGCAATTTTTTTTAGAAGAATATGGACATTTTTTTTATTAACCTGTAAATATGGGTTTAAATATGTAAAAAACAAAATGCTAAGGTGGACCACCAAGGGAAAACTTTTACAGCCAAAAAAGCTTGATTTGTTCAATTTGTACTTGTTTTTCACCTATAAAACGTTGTTCATCAATGTCTTGAAAATCTTTCAACTTTACATCTACCCCTTCCCTTATTTTCTCCAGATGCAATGAGAGGAATGCAATGCAGAATTTTTTCATCATCATCTGCAGCTGCTTATCCTTTAGCAACTGAGACCAATATCTTAGCATGTGGTATAAAATTCCTTATTAGTATACATTAATCTTGTCCAGCTCAAACATAATTTGATTCTTTTATTTCTAAAACTTGTATTGTACGTTATATTGTGCTTCCTTTTCTATTTCATAATAATTAAATATTATAATATAATTTTTTTTTTAATTTATATTCGCCTCTACCCTAGAGGGTCATTGACGGTGAGTCTTAATTTATATAATCTGTTGTAATAATTTGTTTCCATTAAATATTTGAAGAGAATGATGACATCTTCCTCCCTATCTTTCAAAATAACCTTCGGTGTCCTGGACAAATTTCATTTTTTCTTTGTTTTTCGTATTGGGGACACTCTAGTAATAATTGTTTAACTGTCTGAGGTGTGTTGTCACACTTTTGGCAGGTTGGCGCTTCCAGACCTCTACCGCTCCAGACCACAGATGGTATCCGCGTGTGAGAAAAGAGTGTTCAATTCGCATACGGCACAATATTATTTCTTCCCTTTTTGATTTTCTAGAGCTTCTAGCCCATGTGATGCTCTCGGTTTTTATCTATGTTAATTTGGCTCGTAGTATTTCTCATTGGCTTTCCCAATTTTCTAATAGCTTTTCTCTTGTTTCATGGATCCAATCTTCAACGGTGATGTAATTTATTGGTGTTATACCTGGTACCTCTCCCTACCTCGCCAAATGAGCAGCTTGATCTGCTTTTTCATTGCCCATTACGCCACTACGGGATGGAACCCAGACAAAAACCCCTCTCACTGATCTTTTTTCTTATCTCTCAACATAGTTTAATATTTCTCTAATAAGGAAGTTGCTTGGCCATAGGTTACCAATGGCCACCACGACACTTTTGGAGTCTGTTACTATGATCCAGTTTTTATCATTGGATTTCGATATCCGCTCTCTGGATTGGATTTTCATCTCTTGGTAAATCGAATAGTGGCTGTAGTTGGTATTCGGTGGCATAGACAGCGCAACTAACGCTATTTTCTTCTTTGGAGGCGTCGGTGCAAGTGACATTATAACCTTTGTACCTTTCTAGCAATCGAAATAAATAAATTTGGATTTCTAATGGGTAATCTTTGGAATATCGAGTCATCGAAATGTCTCAGACGGTCTGAATTTTTTCCAGTAAGGAAATTTGAGATCAGTAATGGGCCTTATTGTTTTCAGATCCATGTTCATATCACATAATGTTTGATAAAACATTAATTTAAAATTGTTTCCCTCTATGTCTTTAAGTCCACGTTTTTTGGATTCCTCAACAAATAGTTTTGGAGCTAATGGATGCTGTGGACATGCTTTAAATTTTTGAGACATATTTTATTGATAAATAACTTCGTCTCATTTCTAGAGAGGGATCTCCAGATTCGGCATACGTACTTTCAACTGGATTCAATTGTGGATGGAATCTAGCATTTTTAGTGACTTCTTGTAGCCTGTTCCATATATTTGAGCTCCATAGTCAATTTTACTTCTAATTACACTATGCTATATTTTTATAAGGGTTAGTCTATCGGCTTCCCAAGTTGAATGAGCAATGCACTAATGAAGTCCTAGCCTTTTCGTGCATTCGTCCCTTGATGTGATGAACCCATGACAGGTTATTATCTATAATCATTCCGAAGTATTTAAATTTGTCGACATAATCGATAGTAGTGCCCCCTAATACTATTTGTGGATTTACATTTTCGTAAATAAAGGAATACTTTTGGTTTTTAGAACTAATAGTTTGAATTATGTTTTCTATCGCGTTTTGCAGCTTCCATTGGATAGATGCTAGAGATTTGCCACGAGTTGAAATAACTATGTCATCAACAAATAGAAAACATTTAATGGGGATCTGTATTGTGGACGTGATTCCATTGATTGCTATAAGAAACAGTGTCTCGCTGAGTGGTGAGCCTTGCGGTGTTCCTTTTTCCAAAGAATAATTCGAGGACATAGTGTTTCATACCCGCACACAAAATTTTCTGTCAAAAATTTTGAATATACGTCCAGATATTCCTTCCTATACTTAACCTTTCCAGGATTGTTAAGACACGTCCTCTTGCCATTGTGTCATAAGCCTTCTCTAGATCTAAAAATACAGCAATTAAATGTTCTTTATGTGAAAAAGCCTCTTCGGCTTCTAGGCTTAATGGCAACACGGAGTAAGTTGTTGAATAGTTTGTTCTGAAGCCGAACAGTTGTGGAGAGAGAGAGCATTGTTATTTTCCAGCGCATCAATAAGACTTTTATTTGCCATCTTTTCTAGGATTTTCTAGGAAACGCATGAGACTAATGAGATGGGTCTGTAGTCATTCAGTTTGATACTATTTTCATTTTTTTGAATGGGTACTATAATAGATTATTTTCAACAGGAAGGAAACTCACCGCTGTTCCAATACTTTTATATTAGAAAATCACTTCAGGAAACAAATGAGGCTTTGTTAGAAATTTTTGCACCACAAATACAAAGCAGCTTTATTCATGTACATAAACATCACACAATGAACGAAGAACTACTACTACTGCTATGGGTAACGTCACCCAAGCCAACCTGCTTTGTTTGTAACCGCTCAGCAGTGCTACCATATAACATGCATTAACTCTACATATACTCCCTACAAATACAATTTATGGTTTAAATTGTAAACTGAATTAAAATAACAATACAAAATTAAAAATATGCAACACAATTTTTTCAGATTAACTCATTAATTTAATAACACTTAATAAACTACTTTAACAAATGTTTTCTGCTTCCTTCTTAGCTGGGTTTTTACTCTTTTTTTTCTTCTTTTCCAGTTTTGGAAAACCTCTTTAGAGGACAGTGAAGAATTATTCATACCACCAGTTGTTGTTTGTACTCCTCTCCTTGTACTTTTCTGACTAATATCTGGTTATGAAAGGGATCTTTGGCTGACAACAGATCTGATACTATCTCTTGTGATGTTCCTGGAAAGATTGTTTCGAGCTACAGGTGTGACAGATGATTTTACTTCAGAGGGTTTTACAATGTGTGGAATTATTGTTTTAACTGGTACTGATCCGGTATTTTTCTTAATGCCATCATCAAGACGACCGCTTTGTAAACTATTGCATTGGGTCAAAGATATTCCAGCTTACCCTAAATAGTGAGACTCACTTGCACTAGAGTCTAAGCGCTGTAAAGACCTCCCACTGCTAGATGTTCTTAGCATGGAACAGGTCTGTGTTTTAGTTTGGCCAATAACAGTCCAACCTGGCCTAGTTTTTGTGGCTATCAAATTTTCAGTTATTGGTTCTAACCTTCCTTTCATGTTTTGTCCCATGATATCTGCCAAAATATATATATAAATATTTTTTAAATTTTTCGACCTAGTATCGCCACATAAAGTTTTATTAAAATTGTTGACCTCACCATTGACCCATTTCTTCTCAACACATGGGAGTATTCCAGATTCTCAAACTTTCATCAAAGTCTTATTCATCATCCTAACTCCCCGCGGAGGTTGAAATGGCAATGAATCCGAAACCTTTGTGAATTTACTTTTGAAGTTTTGGTAATGGCTAGTTTCTTCACTCATGTCTCTTTGGGTCCTGCTTTGCCTTTCAGAGAGAGCGGAAAAACATGTTTTAAGATTCCCCCGGTTAATTGTAAATATTTTATATAATTATGAATATGTGACCAGTATTTATTATAATTTTTTTTCAATTCTCTTCATGTATTTTTTTAATTTGCTTCCTTCCCACCGAAGGTAGGGAAGCAATGTATTCCTGAGAGAGGTTAAAAGAAAATTGTGCTCAGAATCGAAATTTTCCACTCGCGTTTTACGTTTCAGACATCAAGGATCAAATTTGGTTCAATGTTTGTCTGTCTGCAGTCAAATCGATTTAGCGCCCATATCACCTACTACCGTTTACTCGATTTTAATGAAATTTTCAGGAATTGAGCGGGTTGGTATCTAAATGGTTCATATAAATTTTAATAATTTCTATCAAGCACTTCCGCTTACGCGGGCACAAATGCATTTTTGTAGATATGCCAACGTTTCAGAAACGGCTCGTTCAATTTGGCAAGATATTTGTGAAAAAATAATGTAGGGTCAATTTTATTGAATTCCGTCCATTGCTTTCTCTTATATATGCACAAACGTGTTTTCCTTGATACGTCTATATCTCTACAACCACAAGTTCCATTTGGGTCAAATTTGGAGGAAGTTTAGGGATTGCTAAACGTAAAATGAAATAGGCATCAATTTTATCAAATTCTATTTAACACTAAAAAAAAAAAAAACTTATACCGCTTTTATATGAGTAAATGTGTTATTTGATATGCCTATAGTTTGAAAACGGCGAATAAGATTTGACCCAAACATGTAGGAAATTTGGAAACCGGTTTAGAAATTACCTAGTATCAATTTCATTGAATTCCATGTAATAATTAAAAATTTTAAAAAAATAATTGTTAAAAATATAATGGCTGTGAAATGTGGAAGGCACTGATCATATGGAGTGGGAGTAAGGTAATCACAATATTGTTATGTGGTTATAAAATTTTACATTTTATTCAAATAATTAATTTATACTATATTGTTTGGTCGATCCACTTAGATTTCGTATAATTTTCAGTATATTTCACACCGAATTTGTAAAAAAAAAAAAAAAAAAAAAAAAAATCTTAGTGACTGTATTTATTTCCATACAAGTTCAACCAGCTCGTTGTGGTCTCGATTTTCTCCTTAAATATCAAAATTGTGTCAACTTCACTCACATTTTTATATTTCAGCTTAATTATTTTTGTTCTGGCTGAAGAAAAATATTGGTCTCGTTAACTCAGAACAAACAAAAAGTTAAATTTTTCCTATGGGTTTTTTGTTCCATCCATTTTACGAGTGACAACCGACCTATTAAGTATATATAACTACTGTCAGTACAAAGGTCGTATGTAGAATCTTTTAATTTTTATTCTATTTTTTATATTACGATGTCTGTAATTGATATAAGTAGTCTACTACTATGAAAAATAAAGAGGATAATAAAATACTAAATTATACAAATAAATCATAAAGAAATGATAAAATCTGTAAAACACTCGCAGAATGCACTGGAAATTTTTTTAAATTAGGAATTATTAAATATGCAATCTGCAAATGCGATACTTTTTCTCATTTGAGTATTTTCTGATAAACGAAACTCGTGTATATCAAGTTCGTATATATTGAGGGATTACTGAATTTCCGAAAACGGCTTCTTCTAGAGATTTTATCCTCTTAAGAATTTATATATTTTATCCTTTATAGGTATTATTTAGCAAAAGAAAAGGGTGAGGAAGCTATACTGACCTTACCTAGTTGATATTTTATTGTTGCTTTGGAATGTTTATTCTTTTCTTTTCATCATTATTATTTATTTATTTTCTTGTTTTTTATTTCAATTCTTATTTTAGTTTTATATATATATATATATATATATATATATATATATATATATATATATGTATACATATGGTATGAATTTGAACATAGAGCCATAAGGTCAAATGCCCTTGATTGTGGCAGATTGAATTATTTTTATACAAATAAAAATAGCTTAAGATAAAGGATAATAAAAATAAATAAAAATAAAATTATAATCTTAGTAAAGTATATCTGATATGGCAAATAATCACTTATTTTGTTACGGCCGTCGTAAGTCATCGACCCTGGAAGTTAGGAATGAGGCACATCCTGTGTTTATTTAGGGGGTAATCTTAATAAATTAACATGGAAAACCTGACGGTTGAGTGTGATCTAGAATGATTGGTAATACCATCTGATTACACAACCGTTGACCAAGAAACTTTACTTTCTTCTCAATCCAAGATCCATATTAGATGTAGTGATGCTGTGTATATATATATATATATATATATATATATATATATATATATATATATATATATATATATTAACTTCTGTTGAACTATTTTATACCGATATTCTTAGTGTTCGTAAACAGTTTTATAAACCTTCGTACTGGGCCAATCGTCCGTAAGGAGATACATTCGATTCAGAGAACATTGCCAGCCTCGGATTTGGACAGAGTAAACGGTTACGACACGGCGCGGTTTAGCAACTTGGAACATAAAGTTACTTACAGGAAAGGAAGTAGAGTTAGTGGAGGAGTGGATATCCTGGATATAAGTAAAATAAAAAGAAAGGGTAGTGGAGAGACTCTAATGGACAAGAATTATACCCCTATATACCCAGGAGTACCAAAGAGCAAAAGAAGGAGTCGGCATTATCTTTAAAGACAGCATTTACTCAGATTGAAAAATGGAATTTGGTTTCTTTTTTAATTCTTACGGTCGATATGCAATTGTTAATAGGCATTTATAGGCATTACTTTAATACAGATATATGCCCCTACAGATGATACAGATATATTCGAAAAAGAGCAATTTTATGCCGAAGAGATGTAAGAGATAATGGGAGACCTAAATGCTATAATTGGAAAAGATAATAGAGCGTTGCAAGATATAGGAGGAGAAGCAACTAAAAATAGAAATGGACAGAGACTTATTGAATTATGTATAGACTCTGATCTATTAATAGGCAATACATTATTCCCACATAAAGATGTGCATAAAATTAAATTCTCTGAGTAGGAAAGGAACATAAACAGCATCATTGATTACTTCATTTACACTAAAGAGATAAGATGCTATTTTACAGATATAAAAGTAGTGCAGTAATAAGAAGTGCAGAACTCAGTACAGACGATTTGCTTCTGATTGCAGATACTCTAATTTCTAAGCCGATCAAGGGAAAACCAAAATCATTTAAAAGGATCGATACAGCGGTACTACGGGATTCCGAGAAAAAAATCTTATATGCAGACTTACTACACCAGCGACTCTTATCGATAGATCTAGAAAAGAATATAGATGAAATTTGGTCCGATATAAGATGTTGTATACTGAAAACTACCACACAGATATTCACAAAGATGAAAATCAATATAAGGGCTAAAAGAGCATATTGGGAGCGAAGAAGTAAAATGTGCAGTTCAAAACAAAAAAAAAGCTTGGAAACAATATAAGGCAAATAAGTCTCAGAAAAACTGGTCTAGCTATGTTCATAAGATGAATATCTCAAAGGATGTTGTTAGGGAGAGCAAGAGAAATTCTTGGGAAATATTTGGAAAGTAACTAGACCAGGATTATAGGGACAACATTAAAAAGTTCTGGAGAAAAGTTAAAGACCTTAAAGGAAATAGAGCTAAAAGCATTAGAAAAGTGAAAAATCAAAATAGTGATATAGTAACCGATACTTCTGGCATACTAGAAATATGGGAACTGCGTTATGGCGTGATATTCGCAGAGCAAACAACAAATTCTGAACAACCTATTTCCAATCCAGATGAACAAGATATTGAGCAAGATTTAGATATAATATGGGAAGAAGAAGTTGAAGTAGCCATAGAAAGACTTAAGCTTGGGAAAGCAGCTAGAAGGGACAAAATCTCTCCGAAATTCATTAATACGCCAGAAGGGAGATAATTAAGGCTCTGCAGAATCTTTTCCAGAAAATTTATGAGGAAAAGAAAATTCCTAAAGAATGGTAATACAACATTATCATACTTATCCACAAGAAGGAAAGTACAAGTGAGTGTGATAATTACAATCCAATATGTCTCTCTCAAGTAGTATATAAAATATATGCCTCAATTTAAAAAAAAAAAAAGCTAAGGCCATTAGTTAAGAGAAAACTAAAAAATGAGCAAGTTGCTTTTCGCCCCGCTTTAAGGATGATAATACAGAAAGCCTGGGATACAAATAAAACCTTGCTTTTCTGGATAGAAAAATTGACTCAGTACCAAGAGAAGAAATATGGAAAGCCCTGAGAGCAAAGAACGTGCCGAATGGTTTGCTAATCGCAATACAATCAACATGCCAAGCACCAAAGAACATTGATAGAATTAATGGTCTGGAGTCGAAGAGCTTCCCGATAGAAAATGGAGTAAAGCAGGGAGACAGTCTAAGTCCTGTACTGTTTATGATCTTTATTTATGAAATAATAAAAATTTGTAAGAGGAGAACAGCAAGACCTATAATTGGAACATGAGAACCATACTGGCACAAGTAATGATTAGTATTGCCCATTTATGTTAAATAAAAATAGTAAATATATGTATATTAAAAAAACATCGAAAAAGGATACATAAAAAAATCTTATAAAAGATTTAATACATATTTTATACGTGATTACATCTCATTATAGAAAAATAATATGTTACACTGTTATAATATTACTCCGTAAATCTAATCCGGCTTGAATAAGACATTGCCAATTTCTTCAACTTCTTCTAATAGTCGGAACTTAATCTTGGGCAATTCTCTGGAATATTTCGGATTGGGATCCCCGGTCCTGGCCATTCTCTTCTCCACAAGATGCTGAGGTGCTACCTTCCGATCCGAGGCCTGGCCGATCTTGGCCATGAGGTCGATGAAGAGGGTAGTGATGTTTATCTGGGTGAATGCTAACTCCACTGACCTATAGTCCCAAGGGAAGACGTGGTGGTAGTTATGCCATCCTTCTCCCAGGGTGAGCCAGACCATATAATAATTATTAACGGCGCAAATCGACCTGAAAATTATAAACGAACGCATATTAAATCAAAATTAATTTTTTTTTATTGTTATGTATTTAATTAAATTTACAACTGTATAGAAAATACAACCAGTAAAAATGCACACATTAGAAATATTGACATGAACAGACTTGAAGAGATACTGCCCAGTGGTAGGATTCCCTATTTAATTCTAATTAAGAAGAATACGAAGCCATCTTCTTTTCAGACATCAAGGAGGATTATCAGGAATCGAGGAAGAAGCAAGGCTGGAAACAAGTGGACTCGGTTGGGACTGGAGTTTATCATGAAAGGATAGGTATCTGGCTCGGGCTAAATCAGTGGTATATGGAACACTAAGGTTTTTATGAATGGTTTTATTTGTGGCAAAAAATGGGACACTAAGGATTTTGAATTGTAAGGATTGGATACGATAGGGATTCGATGGTTTGGTAGAGCCCGAAAATAATTAATAAGTTAATGTCAAAATCAAGAAGTATATAAATACATTGGATCTTGCAATGTACGTAGTTTAAGACTAGGAGCCGTGAAAGTGGTAGTCAAAGAATTGAAAGGGTTAACATACCGTTAACAGCCATTCAAGAGGTAAGATGGCCAGAAGGTGGTAAAACCATTATCGGCGGTCGTACACTATTCTTCTTCGGGAGAAAAAAAAAACAAAAACAGCCGGAAAGGGATTCATAGTTAGCCCAGAGCTACGGATTCTTCGAAATTTGCGGCTGTTTAAAATTCTGCCACCTGGAATGAGTGAGGGATGTTGTAAAAATATCTAACTTTATAAAACCGGACAATTTATCTCAAATAAATGTTACATTTTTAAACTCGGTTACTGAGTATTTATTTTTATTTATTGCCGTCTTATCACCATTTCAATCGACCAAGAAAAACAGAAATTAACCCTTCCCTACAAAATTTGAGGTTTTGTCCGAGAAACACAAAAATACGAAAATGCTATTAAAAATAATATCATAGTCAGGAGCTGTTTTGTGTGAATAGCCCGGAGATTTTCTTGTAAATATCTTTTGTAAGTGTATTTCTTGTAAATGATGGCGGAGATGGTGATAAGGGCAGTGGGGCTGTCATTTGCGAATTCGTTAGCTTTTTCTTTGCCTATTATGGCATAGATATTGTTTGTGCGAAGGAGAGGATATTGAACATCTTTTGTCTTCAGTCTGAGCTGTTTTGTGTGATGCAGGGGCGGATACGGGGGGGGGGAGGAGGAGGGGAGGCTTTCGGGCTGAAGCCCCCTCTCCCAAAATGGTAAAATATAACCATGTTTTATCGAAAAAAATATTTAAAAATTATCTCTTAAAGTATAATCTTTCACATAATTACATTTAAAAGGGCTTTATGAATCACTTAAACACCAGTTCAGATAGATAGCTAGTTTCTTTCTTATTTTCCAAAGTAATTATCGTCATTTTTATAAAAAAAAAAGCTTTCGGGTTGAAGCCCCCCCAAAATTAAATCCTGGATCTGCTAGTGGTGTGATGGGTATCTTGTTCTTTGCCACAAAGCTCTTGTTGCTTCTCTAGTTGCAGAGTCTTGTTGCTGTCCATATTGATACGTTTCTATTGTTCATTAAATTTAGATAGGCTGTTAGGTAGGCTTGTCTGTTATTTTTTAATGTTTACAGTTCTTATCGAAGATTTCGAGTTAGTCTGTTAACAGCTGCTCTAGTTATAGTCTGAGGCAAGTAAGTATCAGTTTTGGTTAGTGATCTCGTTGGTGTAGTCGAATGCCAAAGCGCATTGTGTGTGCATTCTGTAAAATGGTTGACTGTATTTTTAAGTTCGTCGGCGGTAGTAATAGAAGTATTTAGCATAGTTTTACTGTCCAAATAATTTTGAAAGTATCCCAGTTTACGAATCCATTAATTAGTGTCGGGGGTTTAGATTTTGCGAAAGGGTGGTTTGTCAGTTCTAGGAAAATTGGTAAGTAGCTTATGATGGGGGAAATAATGGAGAGTTTAAGATCCTCAATGCATAGTCTATTTGATAGTCCCATTATAAGTTCTTAGCATTGAAGTCTCCACCTACTAAGAAATGTTTCACCTTTGATAAAAAAAGATTCTTTATTTCATTACTATGCAACTCGTTGGGGACAATATAAACTGTGGAGATCAGAAGCTGAAATTTTGGTGAGTTGAGAGAATTATTGGTATACTAAATGGTATTAGTTGGGCTAGCTAGAAGTATATAATGGTTTGAAAATTTGTCCAAAAAGTATTTAATTCAATTAATTAACAATTGGTTCATAGTAAACCAAGATCTTAAATTACAACTAGAGTTTGACTTTCTCAAAACCATTTAATGCGGACTTTTGAGCGGCCGAACTACTCTAAGTTGTGTTTTTCATTAAATCATGGATTATCATCCTACAAGCTTTAATTTTATATCAGTTTATTTGAAGTTTGTTTTAGAATAGAGCTGAGATTTACCTCTATTTGTGTGAAAAATTTTGTCTACGTTCAGCTTTAGTTAATTTTTATTCCACCCACCTATGGATACAGTCAATATCTTCTTGTAGTTTTCGGGTAGCCTGGGGCATCTCAGATGTTTGGAACGATAAGTAAATTTGTAGATCGTCTGCATATAAGTGATAGTGGAAATGACTAATGGAGTCAGGAAGGTCGCTAATATAAATGGAGAACAGAGTTGGAGAGAGTGCGGAGCACTGAGGAACCCCTCGTGTTAATTGAAGGGACGAGGAAGGAAATTTGTCAGGAATAACAACTGTCTGGGAGCGATGGGATAAAAAGGATAGGAACCATTTCAGAACGCATATCGATATAAATGGGTCTGAAGACGGAAGCTAGTGAAGGATCAGGAACTTTGTTCACACACATTGAATGCATAAATTTAAATAATATACTCACCTGTCGTAAGGCCTGTTACCCCAGGTGTGGGCCAAGCTGTTGATGAGAAAAGCCACATGAAGACCAAAAATATACCGGAACACAGTCGCGACGTAAAACGAATTGACGAATGATTCGTTCCATGCATACATGGGTACGGCAGAAGGCATTATCCACCCCACCAACAGTAATATCTTATAGTAATGTCTGAAAAAAAATTAACAATTTTTAACCAGTAATCGATTCCTGCGAAGTTTAATCATGCATTGATGTAATATTATATTAGAATATTAGTTAATTTCATACTGTTCTTTGACCAAATGAATATGGCAGCGGAGAAGTCCAGGTGAGGGGAAATAATTATTTGCCATCTACACATTTAATGGGCCTTACGAACAGCTATAAATTAAATAATATGTTTGTTTTCATATTATTGCAAATGTGTACATTTTTAGGATACCATTAGAATGAAAACAAGAATTAATATATTAATGAGAATACATAAATTTTTAATTAACACAATAATGAAAAAAGTTGACTCCATATTTTATTTATTTATTTTAATATTGTATGCCATTTTTACCTGAACGGTAGAACTTCTAGCAAAATTCGATGTATTATTTATTTGCTACGAATTTGCTTGAATTTTGTTATTATTGAAAGAGTAGATCTCTTGAACATTTTCTTTTTTAGCTGAGTCGATCAGGAAGCAGGAAATACTATACTAAGAACTAGTGGATTGAAGTATTTTTGAGTTGAAGAATGAAATGTAGTGTATTTGTCGTGGATGTTGGGGTTTGCTGTTGGGGTGTTTATGTCGGTATGTATAATATACGTGTGTTATTTGAAATATTATTATTTGTTTATATTATTGATTTGAGATATACCAAGGCGCGTTAACAATTTTTCGTAGAATTTTTTATTGTGTTGTTTGTATTTTGTGTATGTGTGTTTGTTTTGCCGAAGACCAAAGTTCTGCTTCGTATGTACAAATTTGTCTCAGTATGGTGTTGTAGACCAGTAGTTTGTTTCGTAAGTTTAGTAAGGATCTGTAGTCCAGGAGATGCGAGAGTTGGTTATTTTGTATGTATGTTTCATGTAAGTCTTTTGTCTAAATAGAGTCTGAGATACAGTACATAGTTCTTTGAAGGCACTGGATTATTGTCAATAGTTGTGAGCGAGTATGAAAGAAACTTGCGTGGATGGATTTGCTTCTATTTATTTACAACTTTACATTTTTCTAACCAGTTTTCAAGTTGTAGAGGTGGTTTTTAAGGGCAATTAATGCGATAGTAGGATAGGATCGGATTCGTCATTCTATCCATTTCCACCTTCCTAGTCGTCAGTGAAGCAATAGATAGTGCTAACTAAGGTGCTCTGGAGTATCAGAGGTGTATAGATGATTAAGCTACCTTGTAGTACGCCAACGTATGTGTCGAGGGAAGAAGGAGGAATCAGAAGAATCTACGGAAATGCAGAAAAACGATAAAATAATTAGAAGGTAAATGTGGTTTTAGTTTGCCAAGCCAAAAACAAAAGCCACTATGAAACACTTTTTTCTACATGAAGGAATAACGCAGAGCAATATTCCTTTTTCTCAAAAGCAACAGAGATAGCGCCCATTATCCGATGACACTGTTGCACAGTGGAGTGATATGAAGAAAATCTGAACTGATGATTTGGAATCACTTCAATGCTTTCTAGGAATGGCTTTAGACGGTTCAGAAGTGTTTCAAATATTTTTCCCAAGATGAAGGACTAGCAGTTGGTTTTGAAAGGACACTTGGAGTCCGAAGGCGGAGAAGATTGGCTTTGGACAGGGACGAATGGCGGAGAACCGCAGAGGAGACCAGGGTTCTGCAAGTTCTGTAGAATATATATCAACAAAAGATAAAGACAAGAAGATCCCCTATCTCCCATTTTATTCAACATTGTTTTGGAAATAGTGATAGGGGCCATTAGAACCAATCCTGGGGGGGACCATCTACTATCGACTGAGCCAGCATCTTGCCTTTGGGGATGGCGTTGTCATTACTGGTCGTGCACGTGCATCTTTAACAGGAGCTGTCGCGGAATGTGAACAGGCCTCAAAAAAAGCAGGACTAAACATTAATGAAACCAAAACTAAATATATGAAGACCTCTCGGAGTGATGGTGGGGCAAGGAATGGTCTTAGAACTGGAGAATACTTTTTCGAGCAGGTACAGGAATTTAAATATCTTAGGGCTCATGTAAACGAAAAGAATGACATACAGGCAGAAATAAAGTCACACACAATGGCCGGAAATAGATGTTGCTGGGCGCTCGGAAAAGTACTTAGGTTAAAGGTGTTGCCCTGGCAGTTAAAGAAGGCCGTACATGTTAGCGTTATTAGACCAGTGGTGTCATATGGAAGTGAGACATGAGACACCAGGAAGTCAGAGCAAGTACTGAACGTGTGGGAGAGGAAAGTCCTGAGAATGATTTTTGGTCTTGGTCCCTCTTGAGGGAGGGAGATCGGTGGAGGCAGAGGAACAAACAGGAGATCCGTTATCTATACAAGGCCCCGGATGTTGTCACTTGCATCAAGACGAGTAGAATTAGATGGCTGGGGCATTTGCTGAGATTATCCCGAAGAAGCTTCTGGACAGACATCCTGGTGGAGGACGAAGAAGAGAGCCTCCCAGATTACGGTGGCTGGAGGACGTGGACCTAAGGACACTTGGAGTCCGAAGGCGGAGAAGATTGCCTTTGGACAGGGACGAATGGCGGAGAACCACAGAGGAGACCAGGGTTCTGCAAGTTCTGTAGTGCCATCGAAAGAAAAAAGATGATACTTGGAACGAACTAATAGAGGGAAGAAGTTGGTTACAGGAGGGGAAGTTCGGTTGTATTTTAACATTAAACCTTCGAAAAAAGAATGTCCTAGTTTATAGCAAGCAAGTTTAAGAATCCCATTTTCTTACTTGTGTTGGAACATGACAATAGGATTCGCTTTGAGGTCAGAGAGATCCTCCATCTTTCCCTTCTTGATGGTGTATGGTAACTTCTTGCTGAGGACCCAACCAATGTGAGCGAAGAAGAACCCTCGTCTGATATTATGGGGGTCGCCGTCTGTGTCGGTGTACTTGTGGTGCAATCTGTGGTCTCGCACCCACTTGTAGATACTCTTCTGCAATTGGGAATTATTTCAGGCACAATCTAGATTTTGATATTATTCATCAACAATATACTTTAAGAATAAAATTATACTTTAAGAAATATTTAATTTAATCTTTCTTGTTGGCATTGATGACTTCTAATTAAACCACAATCGATTTATTTGTTATATTTCCAAATTACATGTTTACATCTTTACGTTTCAGGATATTTACTCCCATCTTCAGAACTACAATCCCAATGTTTTTTGTTGATTTATGGCTTACATCTAATTAAAAAACACCCAATAATTGGTCTAAAAGCATAATGATGCTCTGGATATTATATACTTTAATTTATTATAACATGCATTTAGAACCTGGTAATGGAGCACATTATATTTAAGCCATGAATCAACAAAAAAACATTGGGATTGTAGTTCTGAAGATGGAATTAAATATCCCGAAACGTTAACGTGTAAACATGTAATTTGGAAATACAACAAATAAATCAATTGCTGTTTAATTGGAAGTCATCATTGCCAACAACAAAGAATAACATAATGAAGAGAAGAATAGTTGGAGTGATTAGTCAAAAAAGAAGGCAAAAATAAATGATAATATTTATTTTTACTCTATTTTTTTACTTTATTTTTTTTTTACTTTAGTTTTTACTTTATTTTTACAGGCAATTAAATATTATCATTTATTTTTGCCTTCTTTTTTGACTGATCACCCCAACTATTCTTCTCTTCTTTATCCACGACAGTCAACCATTTACCAATTAAAGAATAACATACAATTTCCCAGAAAAAAAGAAAACAGAATATTTAATTTAAGTAATTGACAATGGCTTCACTGTAAACTAGACAACATTGCTTTCATACATTAATACTTTAAATCAAGACAGAGTTTGTCATTGATCATTTAAAGAGGACTTTTGAACTGCTAAGGTAAGCTAAGTTTTGTTTTTAAAAAAATCATAAATTATTCGCAATTTTTTTTTTATTCGCAATCACCATCCAACTATACTACAGATACTCCACTTTTAGAAATACTTCCTCGTTTAATTAGCTTCTGCTCCATATTAATTAAGTGGAGGCTTATTAGGCAAAAATGGCTACAATTAATTGTTGCAAAGCTTTTAATTCATGTTTTGCGTGATATTGTATGCATTATAACAACAAAATTACCTAAATATACTTTCGATTTAAAAAAAAAAATTAAATAATATTTTCTCAAATTTCGTCTGAGGTAAATTGGTCATGAAACTGTGCTTTTTACCGAGACCTCTATTATACGAATCGATCCGTACATATGAGTTAAAAAGAAAATATTTCTAGTCCTAAAATTTAAATCTCTTTATTTATTCAATTATTTTCATGAAAACGTAAATTGTAGGTAAGTACGTATTCGTATAATAGAAGTCTGGATGAAAAACACAGTTGAATAACCAATTTACCTGAGGCAGTCTTTGAAAAAATCATTATTTTTTCTAGTGTTATTAATCAAATTCATAAAACATATTCTTAATTAAACTGTTGATCAAAGAGCTACTATTTATATAACTTAAATTAAATTAATTAAGGTAATTTACCAGAACACTGTATAATAATTATCTTTGTTTTACCCAATAAAAGCAATTTTCATTCATTCATATTTAGGAAATTTTTACTTTCACTTACCTATAAATATGTAGTATATAGTTAGGGAAAGTATTGCGATCTTGAAAATTTACAAACCTGAGTTTTCAACAGAAATACTCGATTTCAGGTACCCTGAGTCCAAATAACAAAGTCCGGTAAAATGGTCTACTCATACCTTCATATGTGTAACTAAAATTAAGTGGAATTTAATATCAATTAGGTCTTTTCTTCATTGGCTTCACTTTACATGGCTTAAATACCAAATGTTCATATACGTCTTTCACTAAAGTTCCTTTAATATGGGCTTTCGGGCTGAAGCCCCTCTCCCCCCCACCCCAAAAAATGGTAAAATAAAACCATGTTTTATGGAAAATTTTTTTAAAAAATTATGTCTTAAAGTATTATTGTTCGTGTAATTAATTTAAAAGGACACAAGGAATCACTTAAACACCATTTCATATAGATAGTTAGTTTCTTTCTTTTTTTCCAAAGTAAATATCGTCATTTTTATGAAAAAAAAAGATTTCGGGCTGAAGCCTCCCCAAAATTAAATGCTGGATCCGCTAGTGTCAGAAGGTATACGTATAATATATCGTTGGAAAGCGGAGAATTTTAGAAAAAAAAATACAATATATAATATAGAAAGTTGTAGAAGATAACGGAGAGTGGCGAAAAAATTATAAATAATTATTTCAGAAAACTAACATTATTTAATGTAAACTTTTAAATGTTTTTAAGCTTAAAAAAAAGTATTTAAAATCCACCTAATCAAGGCAATGACATTGATTAAAAAACTAATCATTGTACTTTTGTGAAAGAAGAAGTGAAATATAAAAATATTTCATTGATATTATAGCCTTAAATATATTTACTATGGTTTAATAACTCTAGAACTGAAATTACATTTAAATAATTAGGTATCTATCGTCCGTTTGTTCCGAAAAAACTTCATATAACCTTTTAGAAAATTAAATTAGTGAATAATTTGATGATTTTTCCCTTTGTGATATTCCATCAGTATCCACTTGCAACAAGTGTGACAGTTTTTGACCTGTCTAAGACAGACAATGCAAATCTCTCATTTCCATTTTAGTAAAGTTAGCAATGGAAAAAACAGTTTAATAACTAATAGTCGTACAATCCATAATCAACCGGTGATATAATAAATGGGACTTTTGTTATTTAATGGTATTTATGCTTTGTTAACTGTAAGCTTTTAGCTTTGACTCGGCTAAAAATTCAATTCAAAAATTTTATAATAGCATATGGCCATTTGCGCTCACCTTGTATAACTTCCAGAGAGGTTTTCTATACTCGAAGATGAATATCAAGAATCGTATAGCAGACTCCCAACACGGTCATTCGGAATGGCATTGGGAGGAATTATTGACATTCTATTTGATCATGTAAGGTTATGATTGAAGTAATGATGGACGTAACTGAAGGATTTTCGAAAATCCGGAATTCAAAGATTCAATCAGGAGAAGTGGAGCGCAGTCGACTGTTCTACATAGCATAAGTAATAAATATTCAGGACGCAGTCTTTTGTTTTTAAATTTTTTTTTTTTTTTATTTAGAGTGCTACCAATGGGTAGTTTCTCAACATGTGTTCCATGTCTTTATACCAATGTGCAAATTTACTAGATGTATTTTTTTGTATACAGTTGTAAATATCATTTAAAATAAATAAAAAAAATAAAAACAAATTTTTATTTGTTCCGACGTTTCAACCCAAACATGTGGGTCATCATCAGGGCGTGGTTCGAGCATTCGATGTTTTTTATCAATTATGGTCTTGGTCTTGCAAATTTTGCAATGCAAAGGTAGGTGGCGTTGGTCTTGGTCTTGCAGAGTGATTTGGGGCAACACTAGTTGTAAGTACCGCCTTTGTCTCTGATATCCAGTTTTCTTAAAAATAAACTTAATAAATTATCGAAGGAACCTAGTCGACTGTTCTACATATCATGGGTGATAAATATTCAGGAATATATTTATTATACTGTATATAAATATACAGGACCCATATATCATAAACCTAAGTAAATATTGATTTGTTTATCTAATAGCATCCATTAAATAAATTTTAACTGAAACACAAACTTCTATATTGCTGTTTTCCTAATACCAGGAATTAATTCATCTGTTATACAAATCATTTGTATAACAGAAGCAATGAAGGTATTGAAGTACTCATATATCTTCATATATATATATATATATATATATATATATATATATATATAAGTTGTGGTTAGATGTAAGTTGATATATTATTTAATCCTATTCAACAGTTGTAAACAAACCGTAATGCTATATATATAGCATTACGGAGAGAATAAAGTTAGTCTTATTTGAGCAGCCACGTGTTTTATTACGAACCTTTCTTTCTTTTTTTTATCCTTCTTTGTTCGAACTGACGTAAGTGGTGCCGAAACCCGGGAGGTTTTAAAATTTAATTTTGAAGTTGTTTTTTTTTTCTCTCTTTTTATTCACGTCGTGGAAATAAATAAAAGAAAGGATGCCGAACGGAATAGGTCAACCGCCAGTACCGCCTACACCACAGGCAGCACAACCGACTGACCCACCGGCGGCACCGTTGGCTCCGCCGCCAGCGTTTCCTACGTTGTCAGAAGCGTTAGCGAGGGACTTTCCTCCGCTACCTACGGAAACATTAGCGTCAGCACATGCGACGACGCTGGAATGGCTGAAGGTTAGAACGGCTACATCGCAGGACCTGAGGAGAGCTATATCTGATTTAGAAAGATTTGATGGAGGAATAGGTGAGTTGAATCACTTTCTAAAGGGAGGCGATCGGGTGATATCGCGTATAGCGGCTAAAGAAGGGGATAACTTAATAGATCCGCTGGATGCCAACGCATTGAGGGCAGCCTTGGTATGCCGGGTTAAGAGGAGTGTGCTGAATATGATCCAGGCGGATGAAGACACCCCATGGAACATCGTGAAGGATAGGCTGAAGAAGGCATTTGGAGGGGGCCGTTGGGCTCCAGAAGAAGACATCTTGCAGATGTTTCGAGAGAAGAAACAGCCGTATCAGACCAACGGACAATATGCAGCAAACCTCTTGGCACGATTCAACAATGTAACTGAGAAGACGAGGGAAGTAGCGGATGCGGTGGAAACAGGAGCAAGAATGGCGTTCTTGGCAACCATCCTTAAAGTGCAGCTGGGTAGAGATACGGGAAAGAGGGACGGACTACCTAGAGACAAGAGTTTTGTGGAGTGCGCCCAGGAAATGATTGATGCAAGCGCGCGGGAGGAAGAAGCAGCCAGGGGAGAGGAGGAGAATGAGAATGGGTGGAACCGAGTATCGTACAGGAGAGCGGAACCCGGAAGATTTAAAACGAGACAGGAAGGCTGGAAGAAAAGAG